GGGGTGGGGGTGGGGGGGGTGAGGGGGGGGGGGTCGTCGAATCTGCTTCAGTTTTGGCTCCAATTCCAGGTTTGTCCCCGTGCCATCCGGTTCAGTTTCTCCTGACTTTGACTTTTGTCAGAGTGTGGATTGCACTGGCCAGGGAAGATGAGACACGTTTACCAACTGCTCAGTCCTGTCACTGATCTGCAGTGGTGGTAGTGTCAACATGACATTCTCCGTATGCGTGCAAAGGCAATACAAATATTAGTATCTACAGGTTAGCACCAGCATGAGAGGAGAGCCAAACCCTGCAAATCGGACACTTCCCTTTGTTTGTTTTTTCACCCGGGAGAGAACTGACATTTTTTGACTGTTAGTAACACGGATCCACCCAATCGATTTCCCCAACATATGACTTCATAATCAGCTGCAGGTTGAGAGTATTTTGACCGTCTCCATCCATAAAAACTGTTTATCGGCCTGGCTTTAGTTCATGCATCCCCCGCCCCCCAAATGTCCCAGAGGCCAGTAAATGAAATCAAGACTTAAACTGTCCCCCTGGCTGAATTAGAATGCCACAGTTGCATTTCATTTGCTTTATGCAAACGGAGACATTATCAGTGATAAACAGATGGGCTGTTATCATCAGAGTGGACGCAAGCTCAGGGTGCCACAACCCCCTCCAATCTACTCTGTGATAAGAGTCTTTGTTTTTGAAAATGTAATCACATCATCCCATCCATACTGACGGCAAGTTTACTCTGAGCCCCGTGGATCAGGTTTCATGCTTTTCCAAAAAAAAATTAACTTGATAGAAGCATACATGCAGCATCGGCAATTGGAGAAGAGCTGATATGCATAATGAGATAAAAAAAAAAAAAAAAACCTTCCTCCTCCAGCTAGCTGACCCACTATGATGACTGCGGGCCTACTGCATGCTTTTTCCTCAGCCTGGCCAGCTCAGATAGGAACACATTACGACACAATGGCGGTGGCAGTGTGTGTGGAGGGAAAGACTTCACATTAACACTTAAAGTGCCCAGAATGAAAAGCTGTAAGCACATGTCACCGGTGTTTGGTTAGGGCAGCGATGGGGCGGGTGAATGTTTGGCTAGGGATGGGGTTGCATTATTATAGTGCACTAATGACCTTTGCTCCAAATTTAAAAAAGGGGGCCTCCACGTCTATTATGTCCATTATGACAAAATTCCACCAGCACCTGGCACTCTTTTTGTTTTTGCCCAATGTGCCAGTGGTGGCATCTCTCTGCCATAGGTCACACTTTGTGTCAGCTGCTGCGATGACTCACTCACTCACTGTCAGCCAGCACGATGCACACTCTCACATAAACAGTCCTACTACTTCCAGGTCCAACGTGAGCCCAATCTGCGAATCTCTGCAGAATAGAAATGACTCTAGACGGCCCACTGTGGAGAAATGCACGGCTCAACGGAGGCACAACCACAACCACTTATAAAGAAGCTGTCAAATTATTCCGACGTCATTTCATACAGACTGATGCTGCTTGCTTGAGTTAGATTTTTATTCTCGTGTTGATAAATGCCATCATTTCTCCATTTAAGGTAAATCGATCTTTATGGGATTAGGGCGGGTATCAGGGTATCACGCATGCATAACACGTACAAATGATGGAAAGGACGTCCACCCCGCTTACCTTGGTGACCACGTTCTGTGCAAGTCCCGTGTGCAGCTCGAACGTCCACTCGCTGCATTTGCAGTGCATGCTGGCATTGTCAGTGTGGGTGCCGTCACTTCCATTGTCATAAATGTAAGCCGGCCGCGCGCTGATGTTTCTCGGATCGCCTGATAACAAGGGGCGACTCGCGGTGTGATCAGTCAGGTTCGCCAGCGGATGGACGCATGTGGTGTTCGGCTGGGCGAGGAGGAAATTACTAGAGTACTGGCTGAATCCGATAAATAACGCCGGGATCCATGTCAGCACGATCAGCTGTTTCTGGTACTTCCCAAATCCCCCGAGAAACGGCAGAACGGAGTCGTCGATGCGTGTCAGCAGCTCCTGCGACGCGGTGTCGGGGGACACGAAGCCGTTCTCGGGTTGATGGTCCTCCGTGTCGAGCTGCACCACGGCCATCGCTGTTCCACCGATAGATGCCTCCGTAGTGTTGCGAAGCCGGGTTTGCATTGGCGCTATCCCCCCCACCCACTGTCGACTCCACAATGCGTCAATGCCCCGAGCTCCGGCGGTGAAAGCCGTGCGCAGTCAATCACTGGAGTGGAAATAAGACGCACCTCTTTATTATCAGGAAGCACTTCCCTCCGTCTGCCACCAAACCCCCCCCCAGTGCGGGACTCGGTGCGGGCTCACGCTCCGAAACAAAAGGCGGAACCGCAGTTAGTTTACAAAAAGCGATGATGAGGGAAACTATCTCATGGTGTTTTCCGTGGTCCCAATCACCGGTGTCTCTGTCGGTCAGCTGTGGCAGCAGAGCCCTATGGAAGTGGTTCCCAAGGGAGCCACAGGTAGACCTACCTGCCCATAAGGCTGCGCGCTGCTGACTCTACCCCAACATGGCCACCTGCAACCACTGGTGACCACTTTCACAATCAAAAATGCTCACTCTCAGTAGACCAAGACAGCTACTGGGGGGGGGGAAACCCAATGAAGTTCCTTATAATATCTAAAAAATGTTATTCGGTAAATAAACTAGTAGCCCTAGTAAACTAGTTTGCACATTTGTTTAAACGAACACACTGTTGTTCTCACAGTAGGCCAAATATATTTTGCAACCATAATATGCTATTTTAATTCATTTATAAATTTTTGTGGTTGTTATTCTTGTAGAGAAATTGGAATTCCAAACATTTTGCAAGAAAGCCACAAGGTCCAGTATTTTGGCTTCTTCCAATGGACACTGAACCAAACATATTGTTGTCGATGAAAGATAAGTGATACAAAGATTCTAAATGGACAGTGGGCTACAGATGTCCTATCACGGGTGGTAGGAGGAGGAGGAACTAGCTCTGTCTCCGCCCAGTTCTGTAGCAAACAATAAAAAAAAACATGCCACTTTTACTTTAGCTGTCAGCAAAGGTGAATAATCAAAAAAGATAACGACTCTTTGTTTAACTTGTAATCACAGATGTGAGCAGAAACCTCTAGAACAGGGCCCAATGACTAACATCTGTAGTATAGGGATAGTGCAGTGAGTGGAGCAGCATTGAAAGGAGTACGGTCTTGAGTATCAACATTGTATTTTCTTGTCATTGATTGCAGGCTTCATTATGTTCTTCTTTGTTGGTTGTGGATTTTAGCTTGTTGATCATCTCTACTTCCTCGTGATTTTTTTTGCCTGGTGGCAGTGGTGTTATGTCACTATTGTACTAAGTACAATTTTGAGGTACTTGTACTTACTTGCGCATTTCCATTTTATGCTAATCTATTATTTTACTCCACTAAGCTTTAGTTACTAGTGATTTTGCTGATTCAGATTATTAAAACAAACCATAAATCAACGAATAACATCTGATATATTAATATAGGTTAAGCTACTATGCAGTATATATACAATAATTAAAATGAGCTCTTTTACCAGCTGCAACATTGCAGTGAAGTAGACATTAATGCTTAAATAATTATAATCTGTAATTATAATACAGTTAAATGGGTCATTCTCCATAATCAGTATGTTTACTTTTGTATATTCTTATATTGTGACGCTAAGACGTTTGTAGTTTTAATTCAGTAACATTTTGAATGCTTGTAAGTAAGAAAATGATCTTTACTCCACCACTCCAATCCCTTTCTCACTTTATAATGATTTTCGATTTCTGCAGTTATAAATATCAGTAGGCCGAAGTAGAATGAACAGAAACCCTTTTTATTGTCATATACACGAAATTTGACCTCTGCATTTGACCCATCCCTGTATATAGGGAGGTACTTGATACCAATGAGAGGCGCCCGGGGAGCCAGGGGGTTCAGTGCCTTGCTCAGGGACACTTCGACACGTGGCACGTCCCAGTCGAGGATCGAACCGTTGACCCTGCGGTTACCAGACAACCCTCTTAAGGGCCAGTGAGCCACGGTCGCCCCATGATGAGGTTCTTCTACTACCAAGTCTGGAGTTGTAAATGTTAATTGGTACTTACTAAATGGATTTTATTCCAGATGGTCTTCAGCGCTTAGCAGCTGAGTGCATGGTTGAACTAACCGTTGAGAGGTTTGATGAAGTGAAGAAATAAAAGACAAACGCTGGAGAAGGACAAACACCGGTCGACTGATCTTTTTTTATCACAACCTGGCAACCCACAGCTTTTCCTCATTGATCTATAAAGCATTAATAAATAATGTATAACCTATCAATAAAGCCATAACTTATTAACGTTTTATAAAGTGTGCCCTGTTGGAGAGTGGGACCCATTCTTCATGGCAACACATTCGATTTACATTATCTGCTGTGATGCGCATTTTCATCAACAAATTTGATTTAATCCGCATCAAATAGGATTATTATTTATTTTAATATTTTACAATTTCTTGCCCTCAGTTTTACTGAAATTCCACCACTGGTTTGGCCAGACATAATTAGTGGATTTTTGTGAATATATTAAGACATTTGGTCGCAAAACTCAACTTTACACTTCATCATAGTCTCACATAGATTTTTTTTCTATTATTAATATCACTCTGATTTGACCTGAAGACAGACGTCTTGAATCATGAACATCATTTTATTGTGCTGTAACACTCATTGTGAGTGATTTAAGGAAGCCTCGTGGGACAAACTGGTCGATATTGATGAAAACAAAGAGTTCAGTATTGGTCAGGTTTGATTTACACCCACATGGCTTGAGCCTATATTTATCTGACTCCTACTTGTTTCGCAGTGCTTCGCCCTCCTGGCCTTAACGTGCTACTACATATATGTTTTATTCACTCAGGTCGCGTCAAGTCATGCACATTTCATTTGTATTACTTTCTCGAAGATCTGCAAGTGAAGACATGTGATTTTCACTATTTGACACTGGAATATTTTTTTCTTTTTTAAATGATTATTTAAAAAAAGACACACACACACACACACAATTGTGACACATTACATTGGAGTAGACGTTTGATGTGACATTTAACATCACAGCCATTCAAATATTGGATCCTGAAAGAACCCAGGAAGGATGAGTGAGGGCGCCCGAATGTCCTGCAGTGTCCTGTGTCTGCTTACAGACTGATGACCCCTGCAGGCAGACTGGAGCAACAGCACCGCTTTCTTGTCATTGCAGCATTTGGTGACTTTTTTTTTTTTTAATTGTGTTTATTCTTTCATATTTGTGAGGTTAAAGTGGGGATTTTCTTTTAGTGTTGAAAACAGGTTTAAAATGACCACAAAAGAAATACAGTATATGTGTTAAATGAAGCTGCTAGATTCAAATGGTTTAGCTTTCAGTGTGTTGTGCAACAGCTAATGAATTATCAATTCACTTTTCTTCTTCCTCCCTCGTCTCTATTGTCTGAAAGGTAACAATACAAAATAAAATGAAAAACATGAATGTCCGGATCTATCTTATCTGCATCCTTTACAAATCTG